AATTGCGTGAGGATAAATGAGACCGCAATCAGAATGCCTGAGGAGGGGAAAAACATTCTGAAATTTAAAAATCATAAAAACAAGGAGAAGGCCCCATTCATAGTTTATGCTGATTTGGAGTCTGTTTTGGAGAATACTGGAGATCCTAAGAAGCCTCAGCACCACGTTCCAGCTGCCGTCGGATACTTCATGAAATGCTCCTACGACGATTCTCTCTCCTTTTATCGTTCGTACCGAGGGCAGGACTGTATGGCGTGGTTCGCTGATGAGCTCAACCAGTTGGCCGAGGATGTGTCTACGGTATTTTTATGTCCATATAACATCACTATGTCTACTGAGCAGGAAGTTGAGTTTCAAAGAGCTAAACATTGCCATATTTGCGAACAGCCTTTTGGACCTACCGATAAGAAAGTTCGTGATCATAATCACCTGATTCCGGAAAACAACTACAGAGGTCCTGCGCATGAAAGCTGCAACGTTCGATACCAGGACAGCCATGTGGTGCCAGTTGTGTTTCACAATTTGAGTGGTTATGATGCAAATTTTATTATCGAAGATATAGCATCCAAAATGAAGGGCAAAATCGATTTATTACCAATCACTAAAGAGAAATATATATCCTTTACGAAACATGTTGATGAGACATCAATTCAGTTTCGTTTCATTGACTCATTTCGCTTTATGAACTCTTCTCTAGATATGTTGGCATCATATCTGGAGGAATTTCCAAATTTAAAATCACAATTTTCTAATATTTCCAATGATCAGCTCCAGTTGTTAACTAAAAAAGGAGTGATGCCCTATGATTATATCGACTCATTTGAAAGATTCGATGAAACTCAGCTTCCTCCGATAGAGTCATTTTACAGTAAATTGTATGACAAACCATGCCCCCGTAGACACTACCTTCACGCCAAGCTGGTATGGTCGAAATTTGGCTGTAAAGACTTGGGTCAATATGTTGACCTCTACATGAAAACGGACATTATGCTGTTGGCCGATGTTTTCGAGAAGTTTCGATCTAGCTGCCACAATACCTATGGTCTCGATCCTGCACACTATTTTACGCTGCCTGGCTTCACGTGGGATGCTATGTTGAAACATACGAAGCAGGAGTTGGAACTGCTTACCGATGTAGACATGTTTCTATTTGTTGAGCAAGGTATCCGAGGAGGATTGAGCCAAGTTTGTTCTAAACGAAGAGCTCAAGCAAACAACAAGTACATGCCTTCGTATGATCCAGCAAAGCCCGACTCATATCTGATGTATTATGACGTGAACAATCAATATGGGTGGGCTATGTCTCAGGCATTGCCATATGGAGGATTTGAATGGGTCGACACTAATCTTGATGTCACAACCGTTGCTGATGATGCTTCAGAAGGATACATATTGGAGGTTGACCTAGAATATCCTAGACACCTCCATGATTCCCACAAAGATATACCGTTCTGCCCCGAACACATCAACCCGAAAACTATGAAACCTCCGACAAGATCTTCCCAACCCACCAAGCTGATGGCAACGCTGAACCATAAAACACGCTACGTCATCCACTATCGAGCCCTCAAACAAGCGCTGGAGCATGGGTTGGTCCTGACCAAAATTCATCGCGTTCTCAAGTTCCAGCAAGCTACGTGGTTAAGATCATACATAGACCTAAACACTGAACTCCGAAAACAAGCAAAAAATGTGTTTGAGAAGAATTTGTTCAAGCTCATGAACAACGCTGTTTTTGGTAAGACAATGGAAAACGTAAGAAAGAGGGTGAACGTGCGACTATTGACAGAGTGGGCCGGAAGATATGGTGCAGAAGCTTTCATTTCCAAACCCGAATTCAAGAACTGTACTATATTTAACGAGAACTTGGTAGCAGTCGAACTAGGAAAATTGGAAATCTGGCTGAATAAGCCTATCTACGTCGGTCAGGCCATTCTCGATCTCGCCAAGACTACCCTATATGACTTTCACTACGACTATATGGTTCATACATTCCATGATTGCTCCGTTCTGTACACTGATACTGACTCGCTCATCTATGAGATTATTGATCAAGATCCATATGCAGTCATGAAGCGAGATTGCCATACCCACTTCGACACTTCAGACTATCCCAGCGATAATATCCACGACATTCCTCAGGTCAACAAGAAGGTGTTGGGAATGATGTCAGATGAAAACAAGAGTCGAATAATGACGGATTATGTAGGTCTACGATCAAAATTATACTCTATAAAGGTGCTGGTGACTGATGATGATATTGTGAAGAAGAGGGCAAAGTTGCAAGCGGAGGATTATGATGAGGATGAAATCAATGAAATCATAAGAAATATTGGTGTGACGAAGAAAGCTAAAGGAGTGAAATCGTCTGTAGTTGAAACGAATATTATTTTCGAAGATTACGTTGAATGTTTGGAATCTTATAAGCAGAAAACAGTTTCACAAAATTTCATCAGAGCCCAAAAACATGCTGTATTTTCAACAACCCAGCAGAAGATAGCATTGAGCGCGACTGATGATAAACGATACATGATTCCTGGTACTACTGAAACTCTACCCTGGGGCCATCATTCAATTTCATCAGCAATGACGTCAGATGATGAGACAATGGAAATATAAAATTTATATGTACATATTATGTGGAAAATAAATTATTTTAATCGACATCTATAGTATCTTATCAACATCTTCGCAAGTAGTTAAAAGTAGGCCTCGAAAGGGGGAGGTTTCTTCTACTCAAAATAAAGAAACTAACGAGACCGGAACCCAAACCTCATGTCGCACTCAGCATGCTCAGTGCGCTTTCTGTGTGGGTGTTTCCGTGCGAATTTCCATGAAATTCTAGATTTCCATGGGGGATGTGAATGTGCACTTAGGATGTTGGGTACGCTAAGGTGGTCTGGAATTTGGGTTTGTACATTCGATTCGCCCTGTATATACGTTTCATTTGGAATAAATAATACATTCTCTATCGATATAACAGGATGCATGCGATATGCGTTATCGTTTATGTACAAATTCTCTTCTAGTCTTGAAACTACGTAACTACACTTTTTACCTACAGTTGTTGATTGAATCGATCACATCAGTTTGATTTCGCGGCATATATTTTTCCTGAGTGCCAGTATTGCGAAAAATGTGTATGTGGAAATGCTGGATTTCTGCTTCTCAGATTGATCCCAGGTATTTATATAGTCTTACTCGAAATGCATTGTATACGAGATGGTGTTTTTTTTTGGAATGAGTATTAATTTTCATTACATCAATATGATACACAGCCTAAGGCCCCCATGATATCAGAATTCTTATCATCCACTGAATAAAAGTGAGAGAGAAATCGAGTATACAACAATTTAAATGATTATTGTCATGTTATGATAGTGCCTTTCGCACAGAGGCGTCGCCAGAATTGCTACAGTGCCGAAAAAGGGGTATAACCCTCCAAATTTCATTTTGATATCTAGATTTTATTTGTGTCATTCGATAATTCGATCAAATATTTGCATCTACTTCAATGCCGCCCAGTATATAGGGAAGTTAGATAATGGATATTTGTCTATAAGTCAAGGCCTATTATTTCTCCAACATTCCTATACATTCCTCCGAGAGGTCGAACCTATAGTGACCGTCCATAACCTTCAACGTCCCTAAGCCTTATAAGTTTTAATTGAGCGTTATATTATGCTACATGCTAACTGAGCGCTCCCCTGTATATATTTTTATTGCTATCCAAACACCCTGTATAATGATCGGAATCGTCAACTAGCGTCATCTGTCGCACTTTTGCTGAGTCCACCTTTAACTTCTTACCACGAGTGCCCTATATAAGTTTGTATTGCTATTATTGCTGTATATCGAACGGATACTATATCATACGTATGTTTGCTACCCCGTGAGACACCCTATTATTCCTTATCGCTATTGCTAACTCAGACCAGGATATATCATGTTATTGAACGAGTTTTGATAAAGAGTTGTTCGACATATTTCATGGCTAATGAAATCTGACCTCAGCATCAATTATTTCCATCACATACTTAACTGAACGTTTCCCTACACACATTTCAAATGATATCTCATAAACCTTGAGACTTTGCATATGGACGAACCAGTATTGGAATGCTCGCGAAAAATCCTTCTCTTAGAGTACCTGCACCCCCTCTTCAACCCTCTGATACCTCAAAGTATTACTGCGGATCACCCTGTATATATTTATCGACTAATATACAACTCAAATACCCTATATATTAGATTGAATCATTAGCTAGCGGGTAGCCTATATGCTGGTCACCTAGTCACGTGTCATCAATCTTTGTCATCTGTCACACGTCAGCTGCCTAATCTCTCAAAAGTGGGTAGGTCGCCCTGTATATTTTTTGACTGTTATCCATCTCAAACGCTCTGTATATATCATTAGCTAGCGGGTAGCCTATATGCTAGTAGTCTACTCGTCGGGGAGGTATAACGCCTTTTGGGTTCACTCTATATATTTTTTCCCCAACTATTAGCCAACTCATACACCCTGTATATAGCCATTATTGATTGAAAAATGTATCGAAATGCGCGCCGTTATCTCTAGAACGGATCTCTCGCGTCGCTCGTTGGATGACCTTGAAAGGAACCAAAAATTGCAGAATGAACCTTAACTTTTCTTATGGAGATTAACATGGGAAAAGTGACGTTTTGATTCTGGAACCGGTGCAGCTCCTTTACTTAAATGATGAGCTCTCGTGGTGTTTTCAATGATATAACCCTCAATAAACGTAAGTTGCAATAGTCCCGAAACAACCAACACCCCGTGTTGGAATTAGAGTGGACGGACATCATCAGAAAGTCGGGGAGGTTGCGAAAAATATATCTAGAAGAAGGATGTGTGGATATATGGAGAGGAGAGGTTGCCAGAAAGGGCTCATGATGGCCAACTTTCCTGGCACTAGCCTTCTCACAATACAACTATTACTTCACCGCGTGTCTACTCACCTACTCCGATCTTGTTGTACAACTCCGGCATGTACAACTCCGTCTTCTCCCTGCAGAACATGTGGTACTCGGTCTGCTCAACTATAGGCGTGACGCAATTGAACTGTCTACAGTTGGTGTAGGCCTCCATGATCTCGACCGCTGACCAGCGAGCCGTGCCCCAGTACATAGACCAGCCCTGTGAGATGACGTAGTGCATGGCGCGAACCACCTCTATGGAGAAAAAGAAAGAGTTAATTATTCATCAGTGGGGACTTATCGAAAGAGGCAATGGAAAATAGCCGGAAAAGGAACCTTCGGCGCCCGGGCACAATATTCATGTATTGGCTTCTACACATCACAAAGAATGTTCAAATGTTCAAATGCTCGACGATGGGCGTTACGCAATTGAACTGTCAGCAGTTGGGGTAGGCCTCCATGATCTCGACTGCTGACCAGCGAGCCGTGCCCCAGTACATCGACAAGCCCTTAGAGATGACGTAGTGCATGGCACCAACCACCTCTGTGGAGGGAAAAAAGAGTTTTTTTTTCATCAGTGGGGACTTATCGAAAGAGGCAACGGAGCACAGCCGGAATAAGAACACTTGATGACTTGGCGCAATATACATATTTTCGCTTCTACACATTGCAAAAAATTTTCAAACGTTCAAATGCAGGAAGGAAGATTTTATTGGGTCTCACCACCAACAAAGCTTGTGGCTCCGACGGAATCCCACCGATTGTTCTCAAGAAATGTGCTCCCGAACTAACACCTGTTCTCTGCAAGTTGGTCAACTACTCTTACAAATTAGGGATATTCCCGTCCAACTGGAAAATTGCGAGAGTACAACCAGTTCCTAAAATAGGCAAGAAGACCCTACCTAGCTACAGACCGATCGCACTGCTATCTATTATTTCAAAGATCATGGATACAGCTATCAACATCGAGCTCATGAAATACCTGGAATATTCAGGTATTATCAACGATAGACAATATGACTGCCGTCATCAGAGATCAACTGGTGACCTGCTCACTTAAGTCTCACATATATGGCAGCAATCTATTGAAAAATATGGTGAAACCTTAGCCGTGGCACTTGATATCTCCAATGTCATTTGATCGAGTCTGGCACCACGGACTCCTCGCCAAGCTTCCATCTTGCTTGCCTCCCCAGCTGTGCTCTCTGCTAGCTAGTTCTCTCTCAGATCACAGATCTCTCCATGTAGTGGTCGACGGAGTTTCGCAAGGATCAATTCTAGCACCAACACTATTTCTACTCCATATCAACGATTCGTTGGAAGCAATTTCATGTCCAGTGAACAGTTTCGCGGATGATAGTACCCTCCATACCGAATTCTCTTCCAGGGCTCCAATACCAGCCAGACAAATCAGAAACGAACGAGGGAGAAATGTTGACAACGTGAATATGGACCAGAAAGTCACAATTATGACATTTATGAAGAAAATTAATTTTCCAAGTCTGGCAAAATATATTTTTGTAACATATATAACCATGTCTCTGGCAAGACCGAACGACCAAGACGAATTTGTCTCTGGAACACACATGCTCTATGTATAGGTTCAGAACTATTGCGATTGCAATCGCGTGCAGAAAAGGATCACTTTCCGCACTTGTTAGGTACACTATATTTCCTACTAGCGTACGTAAAATTCAAATTCCTCTTTTCCGCACTCATTTTAGTATGTTAACAGTTCTTTCCGCACTAGTGCGGAGAAGTGACCTTTGAACATTAAAGTGAGTGCGGAAAAGTGGAATTTTCCGCATGCTAGTAGAAAAAATGTGTTTTCCGCAAGGTCTACAGGAAATGAAGCAACCTCACGTGTTTGAATACTGTTGGAAACTCTTTTAATTTATGCTCTCCAGAATGGAGTGAAATTTCAAAAATTTTTACTTGAGTATACGAAGAGAGTCATAATATGAAAAGGAAGTGACCTTTTTCAAATGAGAATGCTGAATATAAAATCATGGATGGAATCATGGACTTCTATTACAGATAAAATCATGGATTCAAGTTCGAGTAAAGTTTTTGTTCTCTTGTATATCAAGAGGAAAGTTGAGATGTTGGAAAAGACGAAACAACCGAGAGCAATCCTTATTAATTCTGAATAAGTGCATCAGGTTGCTAAAATATTTCACAAATCTTTCAATTAGTGCAAGAATTTCCTCTTGGAAAATACCACATAGCTTCGAAGTTCAAACCAGAGGATATAATAATTCCTCGTTTCATCCTTTTTAGAGTTTCGCCTCACAAAAGCTTTTATATAATTTAACAGAAAAAAAAAAAGGTTTCTGTTACATTAAACAGCGTGAAATTCATGAGTAGCTTAATAGATACCGACCTGTTCGAGCATAGTAGTTGTGGCTTTTCAAAAAATACGTTTCATTTTGTTTTCGAGGGTGGTGGAGGAGGTGATCAAAAGTCTGAATCTTGAACCACCCTGTATTTGTTTCAAATAAATGTCAGTAGATAGTAAATCAAAAGTTGAGATGGGGACATAAAAGCCGTTTTGACCAATAATGAATAGTTTCGACTCAAAAAAATCCTAAAGTTGTAAAATCTCGATTTTGAACACCCTATATCTCTGTAATCATTCCTGCTAGACCCCAAGTGTGATACATTGATGAAATCAGCTTTTCAGTGAGAATCTAATAATGCAATAAAATACAGGGTGTTCCATTTGAAATAACAAAGTTGTTGCTTCTTTTCGTTAGAAGCGGCAACGCCGCGGGGCTGAAAATATTTTAGAACCATGTCCCCCCTGGAAAATAAAATCGACCTGTCTTTTCGTTTTTCCATATTATCGACTTGGAGGGAGATATTGAGGGTGGGAAGTTTTCAAATTGACACCCTGTATACGGTCATATAATAACGATTTTACAGGGGTGGTAAGTCCTTAAGTGGTCACACTGTATGTATGTGTATCATGCCTATTACCATGCATAGGTACTAGTCAAGTTTCTTATGAGCATTTATTTGTGAAAATGTCCCTTTCGGTATTTGCGAATCAGGCCATGATTACTATTTGACAGTAAGGTTGAGACGTTTTGACAGTCTCAAAAAAATTGCAAGAATCGCAAAAATTCCTGAAAATTGCAGAAATAGCAAAAATTGCGAAAATTCCTGAAAATAATGAAAATTTCTGAGAATTGCAAAAACTCCTGAAAATTGCAAAAATCGCAAAAATTCATAAAAATTGCAAAAAATTTCGAAAATTCCTGAAAATTGCAAAAATTATTGCAAAAATTCCTGAAAATTGCAGAAATTATCATTATTAAATTATCAGTAATTTTTGCAATTTTCAGGAATTTTTGCAATTTTTGCAATTTTCAGGAATTTTTGCAATTTCTGCTATTTTCAGGAATTTTTGCTATTTTTGCATTTTTCAGTAATTTTTGCAATTTTTGCAATTTTCAGGAATTTTTGCGATTTTTGTTATTTTCAGGAATTTTTGCAATTTTCGCTATTTTCAGGAATTCTTGCAATTTTCAGGAATTTTCGCTATTTTCAGGAATTTTTGCTATTTTCGCAATTTTCAGTAATTTTTGCAATTTTTGCTATTTTCAGGAATTTTTGCGATTTTTGCAATTTTCAGGAATTTTTGCATTTTTCAGTAATTTTTGCAATTTTTGCTATTTTCATGAATTTTTGCGATTTTTGCTATTTTCAGGAATTTTTGCAATTTTTGCAAATTTTAGGAATTTTTGCGATTTTTGCAATTTTTAGGAATTTTTGCGATTTTCAGGAATTTTCGCATTTTTCAGTAATTTTTGCAATTTTTGCTATTTTCAGGTATTTTTGCGATTTTTGCAATTTTCAGGAATTTTTGCAATTTTTGCTATTTTCAGGAATTTTTGCAATTTTCAGGAATTTTTGCTATTTTTGCAATTTTTGCCATTTTCAGGAATTTTTGCGATTTTTGCAATTTTCAGAAAATTTTGCAATTTTTGCTATTTTCAGGAATTTTTGCGATTTTTGCTATTTTCAGGAATTTTTGCAATTTTCAGGAATCTGCCATTTTTGCAATTTTCAGTAGTTTTTGCAATTTATGATATTTTCAGGAATTTTTGCGATTTTTGCTATTTTCAGAAATTTTTGCGATTTTTGCAATTTTCAGGAATTTTTGCAATTTTTGCATTTTTCAGGAATTTTTGCATTTTTTTCAATTTTCAGGAATTTTTGCAATTTTTCCTATTTTCAGGAATTTTTGCGATTTTTGCAATTATCAGAATTTTTCTAATTTTCAGTAATTTTTGCCATTTCTGCAATTTTCAGGAATTTTTTAGAAATTTTTACAATTTTACGGAATTCTCGCAATTTTCAGGAATTTTTGCAATTTTGCAATTTTCAGGAATTTTTACGATTTTTGCAATTGTCAGGCATTTTTGCAATTTTTGCTATTTTCAGCAATTTTTGCGATTTTTGCAATTTTCAGGAATTTTTGCAATTTTTGCTATTTTCAGGAATTTTTGCAATTATTGCTATTTTTAGGAATTTTTGCAATTTTCAGGAATTTTAGCAATTTTTTGCAGTTTTCAGGAGTTTTTGCAATTTTTTTCAATTTTCAGGAATTTTTGCAATTTTTGCTATTTTCAGGAATTTTTGCAAGTTTTTGCTATTTTCAGGAATTTTTGCGATTTTTGCAATTTTCAGGAATTTTTGCAATTTTTGCTATTTTCAGGAATTTTTGCAATTCTCAGGAATTTTTGCTATTTTTGCAATTTTTCGCCATTTTCAGGAATTTTTTGCGATCTTTGCAATTTTCAGGAATTTTTGCTAATTTTGCAATTTTCAGTAATTTTTGCAATCTGCAATTTTTGCTATTTTCAGGAATTTTTGCGATTTTTGCAATTTTCAGGAATTTTTGCAATTTTTGCAATTTTCAGTAATTTTTGCAATTTTTGCTATTTTCAGGAATTTTTGCGATTTTTGCAATTTTTAGGAATTTATGCGATTTTTGCAATTTTCAGGAAGTTTTTGCAATTTTTGCTATTTTCAGAAATTTTTGCAAGTTTGCTATTTTCAGGAATTTTTGCGATTTTTGCAATTTTCAGGAATTTTTGCAATTTTTGCTTTTCAGGATTTTTTGCAATTCTCAGGAATTTTTGCTATTTTTGCAATTTTCGCCATTTTCAGGAATTTTTGCGATCTTTGCAATTTTCAGGAATTTTTGCTAATTTTGCAATTTTCAGTAATTTTTGCAATCTGCAATT